TTATTTTTTTTAGATTTAAATTTTTTTTATTTTTCATAGTTATATATCTCGATGTCAAGATGACTAATTAAAAAGTTTTTTAATATTAAAAAAAACATTTTTCGATGGATTTTTGAGAGTCATACCTAGTTCCCTACATTATAACGTAGCATCCTTATAGAACTTTTTCCCATAACAAAAAACGAGAACTAAAAAGTAGAAGAGCAGGACATAAGTTGGGAAAAATTATTTTCCCGTATGCGTGTAAACCAAAACGGGTGGCAGAATCGACATTTTCTCTGTAGCTAATGAAAAAGGCCGCCCCTCTTATAAACGCCGTGACTTGAAAACCCTACTTCTCAATCCAAAGGCCTTCCTCCCTCTGCCTCTCTGCTCAACTCTGTGTATCTCCTCTTTACCCCAAGATGGGTAAGTGAAGTGAACTCAATTCAACATTCATGGCGATTTAGGATTTCTAAGATCATATTTACTGGTCACGCTATTGCTTATCAAGCCAATTAGGGTTTGTTTTTTTAATAGATGAAAATCGTCGCGTTGTGGTTTTGGTTTTTTGGGCACGATTAGGATTTTCTATGCCATGCTCATGGTTTTCCCCGATAAGATAAGACTGGTTAGGATTTTTGTAACCTTATACGGGTATTGTTAGTTCTCTAGGACTTTATGTAGTTGCAGAGAGCCGTTTAGGGTGTTTGTTCGCAATTTTGTAAGAAGTAATGGTTTGCTAAGGTTTTATGTGTTATTGATGGTTGCGAAATGGATCAGGTGCTTACAAGTACGTATCAGAGATGTGGAGGAAGAAACAATCAGATGTTATGAGGTTTTTGCAGAGGGTGAGGTGCTGGGAATATCGCCAACTACCCTCCATTGTTCGTGTAACCAGGCCTACTCGTCCGGATAAAGCTCGAAGACTTGGATACAAAGCTAAGCAAGTATGCAATTTCTGCTCTGTTTTCATGCCACTGTTTTTTGTTATTCTTCTATTATTTTATGTTTTGCTGATTATCTGTTTATTTGTTTGATCAATGAAAATATGGTATTGGTTTCATGCATTCATGCTTCTCATGACTACATGCATTATGTCTAAATTGAATATTATTAATTTATTCTACTGATACCAAATTCAGGATATGGCTTGACTTGATGGCTCACCTTGTTGAGCTAAAGTCTCCATTTAGTGACCTAAGTTCGTATCCTAAGCCTTCTTTGTGCACATCTGTTTTTGTTTTTTTATTTTTCGCAGCTTGTGGCTTATCTATTTAAAGTAGTGTTTTTTCAACTTGCTTGTCAATGATGATATTAGAATATGTTATAATACAGATTTGTCAGAAGAAGCTTGTTTAAACAAGTTTGAAAAGATGCTCATTATTCAATATCAATAAGTCATTATTTGGTTAACCTGTTTTCTTGAGGAAGTTGCTTTTTCTTTGAGCCCAAAATTATCTACTACCATTTGTATATCACTTCAATCTGATGGAGAATCCATATCAAAATGGTTCGGTTTGTACAAAAAGGCTGGGATTTCCGTCATTGCATTGCCAGCCATCACTTCAAGATTGATAGTCACTTGCTTTTGCATTTTGGAAATTCGATTCAATTTATTTCATTTAAAAAGTTACTTATTTATTAAATAGAGGTGTTAAAAATGATGACATATACGGAAGGTTATAATGGATAAGTTTATAACGCGAGAAATGACTTTCATACCCTATGAGTTGGCCCTAAGATACCTTGTTTTTAGTCATTGACTGTGTCTCAAACTTCATCTGAGTTACAGAGAATTGTTGTTCAGATTTTCTGCCTATTGCTAGACACTTTGGTGTTTTTGTTGAATATTGCTTAAAAAATGTTAGCGCTCACTTTTGGAAGTATTTTTGAAGTTTACTGGTGTTACTGATCGTCAAGTTTGGGTTCCCATGTCAGATCCATATCATGAAGTATGGGATAACTGTGGACTATTAGGAAGTTACGTTCTTGGTTTTGCAAAATGAGTAGGTGAGTTCGGCAAATTTTTGGCTAAAGATTGTTTTCCTAGATAGACAGATTGGGGGCATGGCTTTTATATATTTATTAATTATGCTCTCAGGAGCATCTAAAATTTGTAATATATGACCATGTTTATGTAAAGTTACTTTAGGTGTTTAAAGTGAATAGGTTAATTCTTCACTTGAAATATCAATAATTTTTATGCTAAAAAAAAAGCCAATAATTTTTGTTTATATCTTCTTAAGGTGAACACGATGGAGTGTGCACTATAGAAATTTAGTCATTTTATCAGCTTCCCAACTGGAAACCCAAGAACTATTTGCTGAAACTTAGTCATTTTATTAGCCACCAACTCAAAACCCTAGAATGAGTTTAACTATTTGCTGAAACTTAGTCATTTTATTAGCCTTCAACTCAAAACCCTAGAATGAGTTTCTGAAACCTATTTTGTCCTTAAAACCATGGAACCTTAGATCGAGTCTTCGAGACCCCACTTTTGTATTTTTGGCATTGATGTTAAGTAAACCATAGAATGCAGGTTGGTCCTAAAAAACCCTAATCGCTGATACTGATTTTTTACTCTTTTGGTTTCCCCCCCCCCAACCCTTTCAAATCGCTTGACTGCAATATTTATTAATTATGCTCCCATGTTAGATCCATATCATGAAGTATGGGATCACAGTAGACAATTAGGATGTCACGTTCTTGGTTTTGCAAAACGAGTAGGTGAGCCCGGCAAATTTTTGGCTAAAGATTGTATTCCTAGATAGACAGATTGGGGGCATGGCTTTTATATATTGATTAATTATGCTCTCAGGAGCATCTAAAATTTGTATTATATAACCAAGTTTATGTAAAGTTACTTTAGGTGTTTAAAGTTATTAGGTTAATTCTTCACTTAAAATATCGATAATTTTTATACTTAAAAAAACCCAATAATTTTTGCTGATATCTTCTTAAGGAGAACACGATGGAGTGTGCACTATTGAAATTTAGTCATTTTATCAGCTTCCCAACTGGAAACCCAAGAACTATTTGCCGAAACTTAGTCATTTTATTAGCCTCCAACTCAAAACCGTAGAATGAGTTTCTGAAAACCTATTTTGTCCTTAAAACCATGGAACCTTAGATTGAGTCCTCGAGACCCCACTTTTGTATTTTTGGCATTGATGTTAACTAAACCATAGAATGTAGGTTGGTCCTAAAAAACCCTAATCGCTGATACTGATTTTTTACTATTTTGGTTTCCCCCTCCCCTTCCCCACCCTTTCAAATCCCTTAACTGTAATATTGCCAAAAAGCAGGTATTGTGTGTATCGGCTTTGTGCTTTCTGATGCATTTATGCCGAAAGTGTTTCCTGCAACATTTAACACGGGGTGAATGGGCAGTCAGGCCTCTGTTTGTTATTGTCATCAGGGCATTGACAATCATTTTCCCTAAAATTTTCACAAAAAAATTACTGGTGCTTTTCCTCAAAAAAAAAAAAAAAAAAAAAATCTTTTTAATGTTAAATGTTTTGCTGGTAGTAGTGAGACGTGCAAGCAACACTGCCTTGTTAGTGTTGAATACTTTGTCAGATGGGTCGTACTGACTTATGTGGAAGCTTTGAGCCGCTGACAAATGCTTTCTTGAAGAAAAATAATTAGCCAATAGTTGTGCAAAAATGGGAGGGATTTGCAATATTTTACCTTCGCTAGGTAATATCCTAGATGGGGAGTGAGAAACAATAAGTCCTCGCATTCTAGAGGATTAGGGGGTTCTGGCAGGTCTAGAACATGGATATCACTTGAACAGCTAGAAGTGGGGAGAATATTTTCTGTTAAAGGACTTTACCCAAGAAGAAAAACCCTAGTGTTACATATATCATGAGAAACCCTATTTCCCTTTGCTGTTTTGTCTGCATTAAGACTAGCGTTTCCTGTATTTGTGATTATCTATCTATTTTGTTGATCTGCATTTTTCCTGATTATTCAGGGATTTAACTTCTGAAAATATCTAGCTATTGGATATTTTATCTATCTATTTTGTTCATCTGCATTTCCATTTCAACATATAAATTTATCTGTTTTTTTATTTATTTGACTTTTCCCAGTTGCCAAGTGCTCCTCTCTATTTTGCTTCACTTGACTGACACAACCCTTGGAGTCAGTTTTCTGCAAGTATTCAGTTGTACTTCCTAAGATCTCCTTCCCTGACTGTTTTATATATTTAGCAGTATTGGCTATATTTTTAGCGACCGAAGATCTCATAGTTTGCTTTATAAACCTAGGGCTTGTTTGTTTATTATACTTTTTTTCTCTTATGAGGTTACAAAATTTGAGCTTTTTAAAAGTGATGCTCCTCTGTGATTGTTTCATAAAAGTAATGATTTTTTTTTCGTTTATATTTTGCGATCCTAGGGTTATGAAATCGTTTTATCTGTATACATCGATAATCTACGGTATGAATAGTTGGGATTTTGATAATCAAGGGTCTGAATAGTTGAAAATCTGTGATTTGAGCCTTATATCATTTTTGGCCTCTCATTATGTGGTGTCTCTGTTCTGAAAGAGGTGAGTTTATGCTTTCCCTGCCATAGAACTTTAGTTTCAGTGGTGATTAGTTTTTCTTCTTTAATTTTTTGTGTTCTTGTGGTTTTTTTTCCCTTTGTACTCGAAATTGTATGACTAGGGTGTTCCCCTTCTTTATTTTTTCTGAAGTTACTTTGTATGGGTTTTACATGCTCTGCTTGACATATTGGGTTTTAGAATTTATCCCTTTTATTCATGTTCCCCCAACCCCCCTTCCCCTTATCCTTGAAATTATGTTTTTGAGGTGTTTGTATTATTTGTTGCAAGTTATGTTGGTTTACATGTTTTACTTGAAATGGTGGTTTTTGGGGTTTTGGAAGGACAGTGCAGGTGAAATGGTATTTTTTAGGGTTTTGGAAGAAGGGGAGTGCAAATGATGTCAAATGAACAAGATCCAACGCTGACTCTTTTTGCAGTGTGACGAAGCAAGCGAGTTTCCACTGATGCTCTCTTCCTCTTCTTCCGAACCATTATATTATAAATTATTTACTTAAAAAAAAAGGACTATACCCTAGAAGAATCTTTGGCTGATTGGTAAATCAAGATTGAGTTGAGCATTCTGATTGTTGGATGCCTTGTGAAGGCATATTTAATTGTATGGATCTTTCTTCATGGTTGCAATTTTGGTGGTCATTTGGGCGTCGATGATTGCCTGTTTCTATGTAACAATGGTTGTGAGGTTTGGATTAAGATTCTTGTAACGTTGATGGTGATGATGATTTTGGAAAGGTGTTGGGGTCATGGTGGTAGCACCCTCCATACCTCAGTTGCATGTTGTGGCTTTCATTCCTGCTGACACCTTCAGAAAGATGGTGATGATGCAACATAAACACTTTCTAATCTGTCTAATTCATGGCCACTGATGGCTAGGATGTCTTAGAACAAAAATAGGTTTTCCCATGCATGGGGCAAGCTGAAAATGTTGAATTCTCGTAGCTGGATGAAGCTGACACCTTTGTGCTCTGCATAACTGGATAATTGGAGCATATTTTGCGAATTCCTAGTTGTCTAAATGATTGATCTGGCGATTCCATCAGTCATTTGCTTTGTACCCTTCAGTTTCAGCCAATTCCTAACGCCTCTCTATTTGTCTGCTTTATGATTGTGGGCCAATGACTTTACACATAATATAGCTGCTGGATTGTACCCTGTCTCTGAAAGAAAGTTTTTGCTTTTGATTGCTTTTTGATGCTTAATTTCTCTGTTATAGGAATTTTTTGAGTTTTAATTTGTTAAGTGGGTTGTTTTTTAGTGTTCATCAACTGCCCCTTGATGGCTGTTGCAGTTTGTCACTTTGCATTGTGGAAGGATATAAAAACAGAAACCAAAATGCCTGTTACAGTAGCAAAAGAGTTGGAAAAAGAGGAACTGGAAGCATGGGATATTGGATTTTACAAGCATTGAACTTTTTATTGTGAAAAAGAGCGTCTAGAATGAGGAAATTAATGGGGACCTGGAAATCAAAGATGACAAAACTAAATAAATGAATGACAGGAGGTCCCATGAAGGATATATTTTCTTTATACTGTGTGTGCATGCATGCATGTTTGTGTGTGTCAAATCTATGCAGGGACAGGTACCTGCATAAACAGTGTTTTGAGAGAGAGAGAGAGAGAAAGAGAGAGAGAGAGATTCTCAGGAAGTATCGTTGCTTATTATACGGCATTTATTGTTGTTCAGGGGTATGTGATATACCGTGTCAGGGTCAGGCGTGGTGGGCGTAAAAGGCCGGTCCCCAAGGGTATTGTGTATGGGAAGCCCAAGAACCAAGGTATCACCCAACTCAAATTCCAGCGCAACAAGAGATCGGTGGCAGAAGAACGTGCGGGTCGTAAACTTGGTGGCCTGAAGGTGTTGAACTCTTATTGGATTAACCAGGTTTGTAATTCTCTTGTACACTTCCAAGTGACCATCAATTCAAATGCTCCTCCTTTTGATACATTATTTCAGTTTCTAAGACTTCTGTACTCAAGCAGGTGGAATTCACAATTCGCAAAACCATCTGTATTGCTAGATAATAATTTTTAAAGGGAAAAGTTTATATAGAGCCTAGGCTCTAACAATCAAATTAGAGCCCACCGCAAAACTGTCACTAGAAGATATTGTTTTGATACCCAAATACCACCAAATTGATCATCTTGAGATTCTCGACATCAAGATGCATAGAAATGAGAAAAAAATGGATTTCAAGGTTTGGAAATATTGCATCTTGTAACGCATTTTTGGACCGTTAATTTTCAAGTTTTCATAGATCTGCCCGATAGCTTTAACTTTTATAACTAAAGATTGAAATATAATTTAAGGCTATCACAAAACTTTCCAGTATTGAAACCATATTTCTCGACACTATTTGAAGGTGGGCTCTAATTTGATTGTATACAAACTGCACTCATTTTTAAATTGTGGGTTTTCATTTTTTTTCTTATTTTTTGTTTGCAGGATTCAACTTATAAATATTATGAAATAATACTAGTTGATGCAGCGCACAATGCCATTAGAAATGATCCTAGGATAAACTGGATTACCAAACCTGTTCACAAGCACAGAGAGCTTCGAGGATTGACATCAGCTGGGAAGAAGTACAGGGGTCTCCGTGGAAAGGGCCACTTGCACCACAAGGCCCGACCTTCTCGTCGTGCCACTTGGAAGAGAAATAACACTTTGTCTTTGCGTCGATACCGCTAGGTCTGATAAAGTTTTTTTTTTTTTGAACCTATCGCTAGGTCTGATGAAGTTGTTCTCAGTCTCTCTCTTCCTATCTCTCTCAATTTTTTTTTTTTGAACCTATCGCTAGTTCTGATGAAGTTGTTCTCTCTCTTTCTCTCTACCTATCTCTCTCGCTAAATTTTATTATGAGATGATTGAGTTGCCAAACTTGGGTTTGGCCTTAATTTGGGGAAGTTGTTCTTGGTCTTTGTCTACAATTTTATGAGATGATTGAGTTGCCAAACTTGCGTTTGGCCTTAATTTGGGGAAGTTGTTCTTGGTCTTTGTCTAAAATTTTTGAGTTCCAAACGAATTTTGCTTGTGAGATAACCGAGTTGCCAAACTTGGCTTCGGCCTTAATTGTATCATCTTGACTTTTGCATTTTCGGTGTTAAATTCGTTGCTTGGTGATCAGTTGATAAGTCTTCAAGTTATCATTTTGAGTAGGTTGCAGTTTTGCATATGGTGAGGTTTACCACCTCTAAATGGCTTATTCGCCCATTATTCTTCAGTGGTCTGTTAAATTATGCAATTGCCTTCTCTCAGGGATTCACTGTAGCGTTGGAATAGCTCCCAATTGCCTCATGGGTAATGTTGCAGTACCCTGCGGATCTCTGATTCTTAGAAGACAGCCATTTCCATCATTCTATTGTTTGTTCTGGGCATATTATTAGGCACTGTAGTCCAGCTTTTAAGGGTTTCGAAGTTTTTTCCTTTGACACGCCCTCCCCCCTACACCAACAAAAAAAAAAAAAAAAAAAAAGAAAGAAGATATGTTGCTCCCTCAGGAGCGTACTGTCTATTTGCTCCCTGGCATACTATGCTGGGAGTATCCTTTTGGCCCCAACTTGGTGGGGGGGGGGGGGGTGGGGGGGGTTTAACCTTTTGAATCTAGGTATGGTCCAACAGACAAGAAAATTTTTAATCTCATACTCTATGTGCTGGGAAAGATACCATCCGTAAATTGAATTTCAATCTTTGGCGGGCATAATCTCAGTGTTGATGAACTTAAAATTGTTTTTTTTTTGTTTTTTTGGAAAATAATCATCTAATGATTTTTAGGTAGATCCAAAAATTTATGATAAAAAGATCCTCCCAAGTAGCTCTTTTACCTGAATGACTTAATGTATAACATGCTCCTTTTTTTTGTAGGCGAACGTATCTTTTCATGAAAGGAGAAGTTTGTGTAAGGTTACCGTATACTGTAGAAGAAAGGTGTATATCAAAAACCTATTAAAAAAGAGTCTTATACAGTTGGCCAATTGATTATCTTGACTTAAGATACCAGATTAAAAAAAAAAAATAGTATGTCTTGTAGTAAGTTATTTGGATCATTAATTTTTAAGATTTTTTTGTGTCTAAATATATGCTTGATCTGCGTCATTTTGAAATTTGAAATTTTATTATTAGGGTTGAATATAGAATTGAAAATCATCATAGGGTTTTCAACATTAGAGCTACAACAACATCTAGAGGTGCACCTCTAGCGCCAAAGGATTTCCTGCTCTTGTTTCCTTGGATAAAGCCTAATTTAAATAATGTGTTTTGTTTATTTATTTCCTTGGATAAACCCTAATTCAAATAATTTTTTTTCCAAGTTGCACTCTCAATGCAGTTGAAAAAGTTGTCTCGGAATTGAACAAACCATTCAATTTTTGGAGGGTGAGATTCAATTTTGGCGGGTAAGATTTAAGTATTAGAAATTCAAAATTTAAATTCTCTTTTTAATATGACAAAGTGATTCTTTGTTTTTTTTTTTGTTTTTCAAAATTTAAGATTGAAAAAAATCCTTCCAACTAACTCTTATGACCTGAAGGAATAGGCATACGATATATGCTCAAGTGGTAGTATAGAAAGGATAAGCTTTCTATGCTTCTCCTACAACATAAAATTTATATACATCCGCTTATCCAACCATCTATTTTGAATGGAGAGCTACGATGCTATTTTAATTTAAATATTTTTATATAAAATATTTTAACACCAAAATTTGGCGGTCCAATCCTCTATTAAGCTCGCACTTGTAAAAAATATAAAAACAATATTCTCAATAAAATAAAATGACCAAAATATCACTGAAATATTCAAGGGGTATTTTGATCATTATATTTTATCGAAAAGATAATTTTAATATTTTTTTTGTCTGTGTGCCCCAATGAAAAGATGGCATGTACCAAATTTCATATTCATACAATTTGTATAAAAAAGTTTAAAATAAAATATTATGAAGCATCAGATCTAAGATCAAACGGTGAATGACTCATTTGATCAAAATTGGATGGCTGGATGCTAAAGAAACATAGAACTTCGGTAGGGGAAATATAGAAACCTTTCCCGTATAGTAAATGTTTTCCGGGCAGTTAATAGGAGTCTTTTAGGCTAATATGAGTATATTTAGTTAACTAAAAAAATGTTTTAGAGAAATAGTAACCCATGGAGAGAGATTATCCTTATCTTAAACGGTGTGAGGTTTGTATAGAGCCTAGGCTCTAAACAAACAAATTAGAGCCTACCTTCAAATGAGAGAAGTTCTTAGTTAGCCAAAAAATTTCATGCTGTCCAGGGGAGTAGACTGTATATTTAATCCCTCGGGAAAAGCCCAATTTGAAACTATTTTTAGGACTCCAAATTGTGGGGATGTAATATCTTCAATTCATGAACTATACTCTATTAAAAAGAATTCTAAATTGCATTCTACCTCAAGTTTGAATAGAAGCTCTGCAATTTTTGAAAGGTAGTATTCCAAAAGGTCAAAGGTTAAAGTTCAAACTTTTCTTCTTTGAATATAATCATCGAGTGATTTATAGATGGATTCTAAATTTCGGAACAAGAAGCGTTCCTAAGTTAATCTTTTGCCCGAGAGAGTAAGTGCACAGTGTGCTCCCTCGGGAGCACAAAATACATGCTATTTGGTTAACAAAAAAATCGATGCTCTTTGTTTAACAAAGTACACGCTCTTTGGTTAACAAAATACATGCTCTTTGTTTATAAAGGGTGAACAATCCAATTAAGGCGCACCTCTAAATTTTATCATGTACTTTTGACATAAAAAAATCTTTAGAATTGTTTGAGAATCTATTTTTATCTTTATTTATAAAATTTTAAACTCTAAAAATGGTTCAAATCAAGTAGATCTATAAACACTTGAAAATGGGCGGTCCAGATAATGTGTTGCAAGATGCACTATTTTTCGGACTAAAACTCTTTTTTTCTGTTCATATTCATACATCTCAATGTCGAAATGATCAATTAGACGGTTTTCCAACATCCAAACAACCTTTTATGATGGGTTTTTGAGGTGCATCTTTAATTCTACATTTTAAGGTTGCAAACTTATATAAACTTTTTCCTAATATAAAAGTGTTTACGCTCTGATCGCGCTGATCTCTAGGATGACATGTGTTCAAATATTAGTAAAACTTTAGTTAATTTTATGAAAAATAGAGAGAGTGAGGTCGCTCAAATTATGGATCCAAAAATGGTACATATATATTTAGATCTGATTATTTCTTGGGTCAACTGGTAGCGCTAGCTTCTAGATTTGTGTATTTCGCATTAAAAACTCTTTAAAAAATTTATAAACTAGGAAATAATAGAAAATAAAACTAAATCAGATGGGAAAATTAACTAAAATTGAAAAAAGAAAGAGGATTTACCTTTGGGGACCCAGAACGCGGAGTTTCGGGCTTGGATCAGACTGCTTTTCTGATTTGTGCCACCATCTTCTTTTTGCTTGATGGAATTGATAGATCAAAGGTATTTTTACCTAGATCTAGGGTTCCTAAGGCATGGGAAATGCTGAACACTTTTTTTCCAAATTTTTTGAGTTTATCTGAAAATTTTTGGCTTTATAATCAAGAAAACGCCCCTTTTACTGCATCATTGGGATTGATTAGCCTTTGGGGACATGCATGACACTCCCCGTGTCAGTGGGTCACCTTGGACCCACTAAGCAGGGACCTATTAATCATTTTTTGGATCGTTTTATCCATAAGTCAGATTCAGGTGATTCTTGGACTGTTGAAAAGCTCTTGGGTTTGCATTGACTTGAAATATTGTTTAGGTAGTTTGGGATAATTATATTGGGTCTAGGTTGTCTATGGTCTACTAAGGTTTGTGTAGTCATTTGGGCTCAGAATTAAGGTTTTTAGGAATTCCTTTCACTTTACAGTTGCCCATTTTTTACCTTAACCTGGGGTACCAGGTAAATGGCAAAGAAGTAGGCACTTAAGACACGATGGGGATGAAATTTTTTTTCGATAGATAATTCTTTTGAATGATTGGTACCCCATTGGGTAGGCAGTCCACCGATATATGTTTTTGATCCGTAAGACATCAAACTGACACTGCTATTTTTGAGTCAGTTCGGTTGAGAAGTCTCTGACAATCATGATCCAAATAGACATGCAACAAGAACCGTGCTATCTTTGAGCCGGTGACACTCATTGTTGTAGTCACCTCAATACTACCTGGGTGCTGTCAGTGTAGTCATATTTGGCTTTAAACTTTTTTCTTGGGGTCTGGCTCTTCAAGCAAATGTGAGTTTGATTTAGAAGAATTAATGGGATGATGAATTTCTGGTTAATTAAACTTCTTGAAAAACTATATCAAAATTTAAGTTTTAGAGAGGGAAAATATATTAAGATTCTAGAGAGAAAGACTACTTGAAAATTGTAGAAAGAGAAACTATCTCAAATTGTAAGTTTTAGAGAGAGAAAATATCTTAAAACTTTAGAGACAAACTATATCAAATTTTATATAGAAAAAGTACTTGAAATTTAGAGAGAGAAACTATTTAAAAGAATTTAGATAGATAAACTATCTCAAATTTTAAGTTTTAGAAACTCCAAAAAGTACCTAAAATTTCTTAGAGAGCAACTACATGAAAATATTTAGAGAGAGAAAATATCTCAAAATTTAAGTTTTAGAGACTCTAAAAAGTACCTAAAATTTCTTAGAGAGCAACTATCTTAAATTTTTTAGAAAGAAACTATCTCAAATTTAAAGATTTAGATAGAGAAAGTACCTTAATTTTAGAGAGAGAAACTATATCATATTTTACAGAGAGAAATTACCTGAAAATGTTTAGAGATAGAAACGATCTCAAAATTTTTATGTAGAGAAACTATCACAAATTTTAATTTTTAGAGAGAGAGAGATTCTCAAAATTTTAGAGAGAGAAACTATACAAAAGTTTTGAGAGCGAAAGTATATAAATTTTTAGAGAGAAAAACTATGTCAAAATTTTTAAAAAGAGTATTTCAAATTTTAAGTTTTTGAAACAGGTTGTATTAAACTTTTAGAGAAAATTTTAGAGAGAGAAACTATCTTAAAATATGGAGAGAGGGAGAGGATTTGCATTTCCAAAAAAAAGACATTCCA